GCCATCTCCTAGACCTCCCTCAGTTTATAAAATTATGAAACCTAGGAAGAAATACCCACATAGGCTCGAAATATTTTAAAAATCCAAAATAAGTTTCTGTAAAGTCTCAGCAGTTTTAGTGACAACCCAAAATCTGTCACTAAAAGCCTGCAACGTCTGTTGCTAAAAACTCAGAATTGCACCCTCACGAAAAATCCCCAAATTAATCGATCTAACTCAAAGGGATCGAGTTCTCTTACCTCTAGAACGTGCCTAGGACTAGATTGGATGGCCCGGGACGTTGATCTCCTCGTCGATCGATGATCGTACCCTCAAACGTCACCGCTAATAAAATAAGAGCTTCGGATTAGACTATCGGTGAATCAAGTTTAGAAATCGCGAAGAGGTTCGTGATCCTTACCTAAAAACACGGAAGGGATGGGATCGGGGTCGGGAACAGGGTGCGGCGGCTCCTTCTTCTTTTCTTCCCGCCCGCGATGAGGAGCAGGGACGACGGTGGTTGGGACACGAGGAGGCCGCTGTGCTGCTGCTCTACCTTCGCTTCTGCTGCGCCGAAAAAATTAGGGGGAGGGATGGCAGCTGCTCTGAAGGGTTTTGGGATGGGTTAATAGGAGTTGGGAAATTTTGGATGGAGGGCCGCTCGGCCTTTTCTGGCCGCCCAGTATATGTTTTTTTTTAATTGATAATAATAATAATATTCTTAATCCGCGGTTGCAACCCTTTGTACGTGACCGTTAAACCAATCGTTCACGTATTTTGGTCGAACCTGAACCCAAAGGTCGGGGTGTTACAGGGCAGCTGTAAGCTGCCTCCTGATTCCAGATTCCTCACACAGCTGCTGAAACTCTTTCAAGAGAAACTCTCCCCCTCTATCAGTTCTTAAACACTTTATGTGCATTCCAGTTTAATTCTCAATTTGCAATTTAAACTTCTTAAAGCATTCCAAAGCCTCAGACTTAGCCACTAGAAAATAAACCCATAGTTTTCTAGTTAAGTCATCAATAATGGTCAAAATGTACCTCTTTCCTCCATTTGAGGTTGGAGTGATAGGTCCACACAAGTCAGCATGGACTAATTGCAGCTTTTGACTGGCTCTCTAGGTGCTTTTCTTTGGGAAGATGTGTCTGTGTTGTTTGCCTATCAGACAAGTTGAACACACTTCCGGTTCTCCTTTCAGCTTGGGGAGACCCTGCACCAGCTCCTTCCTTTGCATATCAAGCAGACTTTTTGTGTTTAAGTGACCAAACCTTCTGTGCCAAAGAAGCAAATCTTCATTCTTCACTTGTTTGGTTTGGAGACACTGCAGATTGTCGGTTTGAACTGAGTTTGCTTGCTTGGCATGCAAAACAAACATTCGATTTGTTGGCATGCAAGCCTCTTTCCTCATAAAAGATCTGACACCTTCCATTCTTAATTAGAAAAGTCAGATTTTTCTCCTACAGTTGTCCAACACTCAGAAGATTTGTCTTTAAACCTGACACCAGAAACACATCTTGAATTACCAGTGGAACTTGTTCCACTACTAGCTTCACACTTCCCTTTCCTACCACTTCCAGTTTAGTGCCATTTGCAGCTTAATACTGCATTTGAAACTGTTATCCAGGTTAGTGAACCACTTGGGATCACCACACATATGATTGATGCATCCAGAATCCAGGAACCACCAGTTGGTGTTTTGTGCTAGCTGTTGTGCTTCCATGAAAGCCATTAGGGACAACCCCTCCTCCTCCTCCTCAACATAAGCCATTAGAAGAACATCATCTTTCATGTCATTGTAAGATGATCCTTGAGGAGGAGGAGGAGGAGGAGCATAACTGGAGTAGTGAGCCTGTTGTTGGTTGTACCACTCATGACATTCACTCCTGTAATGCCCCATCTTGTGACATTTGAAACATTCAATCATGTCATGATTCCAGGATCTGCCACCTTTTCCTCTTCCATAGTAACCACCTTTAGCCTGGAACCTGCCCCCTCTTCCTGCAAACTCATGTGTTGCTTTGAGAGCTTGATCCTCTCCTGCTGGTTGCTTGCTAAATTTTTGTTCATGAACTAGTAGGGAGCTTTGCAGGGTATCAACAGATAGCTCTTATATGTCCTTAGATTTCTCGATAGAGCAAACAATGTAATTAAACTTCTCTGTCAAAGTTCCCAGTACCCCTTTCAACTATATTGGAATCTGGCATTGGCTCTCTACAGTTTCTCATGGAATTTGAAACCACCATCACCCTGCCAACGTAATCTGTTATACTCTCTCCTTCCTTCATCTCGAGCAACTCAAATGTTCTTCTGAGGGATTGCAGTTGCTGCTTCTGCACCCTGGCACTGCCTTGAAACTTAGTCTTCATTGAGTCCCATAGTTGCTTTGCAGTAGCCTTCTGTGTGATGGTCTTCAATATGCTTTTGTCGATTGAGGAGAACAGATAATTTTGGCTTTCAGATCCTTCAATCTATTCTCTTCCAGTGTTTTTTTTTTGTGCAGCAGGCAACTCTTCTCCCTCACTAGGCTCTCTGAACCCACCAACCACCACTGGCCAATATTCATTTGACCTCAACAAATTCTCCATGAGCATGCTCCAGTGCTCATAATCTCCATCGAACTTGGGGATACACACTTGAGCAAAGCTTCCCTCACTCATCTTTGCTTTGCTCCTCTCACCAAAGATACAATCAAACCTCAATTATCACACTCGTGTTTCCCTAACCCAGAATTCAAACAATTTCACTCGCCTCTCTTTCTCTCCTTTTCTTCACACGCGTTATGTTGCTTTTGGTTATAGTTTACGAGCAAGCTCTGATACCACAATATGGTCTCAACTTGGGGGGTAAACTAACGACTTTATTAGAATGAAAGAGAAACAAATATATGATTTCAGCCCTCAATCTAGGCTGTAACAGAAGCCAAATCCCACCCCATAACTCCCCTAAATCAGCTACCATGATCACTTGACCATTATCCAGTAACCGAAGTCCCTATTTAACAGTAGGGACCAAACTTACACAACTGAACAAATTGATGACCAATAAAACATAAACCAAAGACACAATCACATTCAAACTCCACCCTCTGGCGCCAAAACAAATCCATATGCCATTCGGATTCCTCAACATGTTTGAGAATTTTCATTACAAATATTAGTGTGGTATACTTTCGTTGCGGAATCTCAAACGTAGAACTGACTAGGTAATAGTGGCGTCCCATGATGAATTGATTTTTGTAGGAGCAACGAATTGAGATCACAATAATAACTTAAAATTTCAACACCGCTAATTAGTCCACAAAACCAAAGGCTCCAATATTTTTGAAACTTATTCTTACAAAACATATCTTAAAGGCCAAGAGAGGGAAGATGGGTCATATACATGCTTACACTTTAGGGACGGACTTATTACAACTAGCAACTATATGGAGAATGGGTCATATACATGGCCGATTCACTATTGGCAAAAAACAAGTTAGGGTTTGTGGATGGATCTCGTCATCAGCCAATCAACGCACGAGAAAAGTCAAGTTAATGAGACAAGATGTGAAGCAACAATCAATGTGTTATAAACGCGCTGCTACGGATCGGGAAATCGCCGGGATCGACAAAGCAAGAATACGAAAGCGAGAATCGAAAACACAGACACACGATTTACGTGGTTCACTAACACGATGTGTGTTAGCTACGTCCACGGGCGAGAGAGATGTACACCCTGTTTTAACTTTGCAGCTTTGTCATCTTAATTAGCTACCAAATATTGCACCACCTTTTGTTTGTCGTAATCCGTCTCAAGTTAGACTTACGGCAGATGGCTCATATCATATGGCATGGTACCGAGTCAGACATATGTCTAAACGCTAAAGCCAAACTCTAACAGACTAAAGAGTGAGGCGTCTTACCTTAATTTGTAGCTTTGACTCTTTCATTAAACGTTAATTAAACAAGAGATGCAGGCCGGCCCCGTTTTAACGTTGTAGCTTTGCCATCTTAATTAGCTACCAAATATGGTACCTTTTGTATTTGTCGCAATCCGACTCTAGTTGGGATTACGGCAGAAACCCTTTCATTGTACCGAGTCAGAGATGCTTAAGCACCAACGAAAATTTACAAGAAGCTGCCGATGGTATCTTTACGTTGGGAGTTCCGTACTTCGTTATTGTCTATGCAATAGACATAGCGAACTTGCGCTTCTCGTTCACGCGTACACGAATATTATCATAACTTTATTAAAGTGAGCATAAATTAACTTAAATTTGGAATATAATATTATATATGTAGACTTTCTTAATTCTCTAAACTCAAATCATAAAATTCATTTAATCTAAATATAACAATGCACGATTTTGATTCGTCGAAATATATCAATGTACATTTAATGAAGGTAGGTGGTGAACACACGCCAGCCGTACGCTAGATTAGAGTTCGGTATTCAACGGAAGAACTGCTAGATGATGGCAATTTGGACCCAACCCACCGGGTTTTGCTCGATCTGACCCGCAATGAGGCGGGTACTATCCGATCCGCAGTAGCGTAGGGCGGGGACACAAGTTACTAGTTCCGACCTGCCTCGTCTCACTCTTGACCCATTCTATCTCTTCCTCCAATATGTATTCATGTTTTTCTTATTTCGATCGTAATTTTACGCAATGAAACCTTAAATAGGTACAAGAATTCATCTTTCAATTATTTAAACTCAATTACTCATTCTTTTATACTATTTTCTATTCATGAAGTATTTTTCTTTGTTTATCCTAAAATAGTTATTTTTTGCATTTATTTTCTTCGAATAATATGTAAGAATTGGTCTCCCCGCCCCAAACTAATACGACTGTTATCCAACCTGACCCTCACTAAATTGATATGGGTATCGCAATGCTCACTCCGTCGCACCCGCCCGTTTGACATCCCTACTTCTCCTTATATATAGACCTGCGCTAAGATAAGGAGGAGGACTTCAAACGAGAAGAAAAGAACAGTACCACTGTACAACATCCAACTCCTCCTCTAGTGTAACCACAGATCATACCCTTCGGTGAAGTTCACATAACTACGTACGCCATGTGTAAGCCATCTCTCAGCAACAATCTCACTGTGAAACGTGGAGAGCCAGTCATGGTTTCGCCGCCTGAAGAGGAAATCACGAAGAAGAAAGGCGTCTTCCCTCTTTCAAACCTCGACCAGATTGCATGTTGGGTACGTTCCATTTATGGGTTCAAGTCCGACAAGAGAGGGAATGAAACGGCCGGCCAAGTGTTCAAAAACGCCTTGCAAAAACTGCTTGTCCACTACTACCCTTTGGCCGGCCGGCTGATCGTTGTCTCGCAGGGAAAGTTTGCCGTGAGTTGCTACGAACAAGGTGCCGTCTTCGTGGAGGCTGAGGCGGACTTTGCCATGCAAGATGTTGAAGAGATGGTGAAGACCGATCCTAGCAAGCTCATGGACTTTGTCTATGATGATGGCATTTACTCCAACGCCAAGCCTTTGCCACAGTGCCCGCTTCTGGTCGCCCAGGTAATCTATTTTTAGAAATCCATCAAACATAACTTTCAACTAATTAACCTCGGTAATTGCTTGTTTGTCATGTTTCAGAAGGGTGGATTGATATCTATATATTTATTGTTTGACCCAAGAATGTAACCCTAGGCTAAACATGATAGTAATTGGAGCTTTGATTTGGACTCAACTGGAGAGAAAGGGCTGGTTCCATGATCTACGCTCCAATGCTCAAATTAGTACGATACAGGAATAGTGTGTAGGGAAAGTAGGGAGAGTTTAGAGGAGGAAGGGAAGGATCCTTTACTTGGAGAGGTTGAGCCTCTAGAGGCTTGAGGCCTTCTTGAGTAGGCTTGGGCCCAAGGCAAGAAGCCTAGCGATGGACTTGGGTCCAAGGTAAGACGCCTAGTGGTGGGCTTGGGCCCATTATATTGATGACGTGGTACATTGGTGTATTAGGAAGATTAATCCATATCCCAATATTATTTATGTTGTCATATACTCATCCATTGATGAATCGAACGCGTTGTTTGTAGGTGACAAAGCTCAAATGCGGAGGATTCGTTTTCGGAATGTGTATCTGTCACTGCTTGGTTGATGGTTTCATAGCAACGGAGGTGGTGAACTCGTGGGCGAGGATCGCAAGAGGGCTGTCGATCTCAGTGCTTCCTTGCATGGACAAGAGCAGTTTGCTACCGCGTAACCCACTAAAGGTTGAGTTCCCTCATCCAGAATTTACTGAGATAGAAAATAGGACATCTACCATCGACGACTTCTCAAAAGAGAACATGGTGCGTAGGGTTTTTCATTTTAACCGCAGATCGTTGAACGAGCTAAAATCAAAGGCTATGGAAGGTGGAGTTCTCTCCAAGTGCTCCACTTTTGAATGCCTTACGACTTTCATTTGGAGAGCTCGAACCAAGGCGCTGAACATGTTTGGCGATCAAGAAACCAAGCTCATAATACCGGTGAATGTGAGGGAGAAAATGAACCCGCCATTGCCCAAAGGGTACTTGGGGAATGGAATTGCTGGGGCTTGCACGATTCGGGAAGCTAGGGACTTGAACGACGAGTCATTTGCAACAACGGTGAAGCTGGTTCAAGATTCGATCAAAATGATTGGAAATGCTAGTGTGAGATCTTGGATTGATTGTTATGAGACGCGCCGAAGTTTGCATCCCTTGGCTCATACTATGATTGCGACGACTTGGTCCAGGATTCCCTTTTGCACCAATGATTTTGGTTGGGGGGATGCCATTCTTATGGCCCCCATGGCGTTGCCTTGTGATGAGATGGTGATATTTTTTCCGGGCAACGGAAAGGAGCGATACGGAGATATGTGTGTTTATGTGGCTCTGCCGGAATCGGCTATGGTAATCTTTCAAGACCTTGTGATGGTCTAGACACTAATTGTTGTGTAATATTTTTTTTAAAAGTGTTGAGGCTTTGTTATCTCTCTATCGTTCTCTTTCCAGTTCGTGTTTTTTCGATTATGCATTTCCCCCCTTTTTGTGCTCCTCAACCTTGTGTACTAATTTATTAAATAACAATATAATTTGCACTAAATAAATTCTCATGTGCCAGCGGAGCCTATTTGTGTAGTACTGCTAAGGTCGTCTTCATACAACCTTATCGCCACTGTGAAAATGATAAGTTAAAAAAAATCTAAGGAATTAGAAGCATAAAAGTGTACAAAACTCTGCTACACACAATCGAAAAAATGTCACTGAAACAATAGACCCCTTATAGACATTGGTAACCTCCAAATCTCCTACTATTTTCCATTCGAGAATCAACTCTATCTTCTGAGTTAATTCAGAGATATATAAAACTCTTCTATCCATTTAAACGACGACACATTTCTCTTCACGTTTCACTGAGAAACAGGTTCTAGACAAGTCTCTCAATCTTGCAACTCTGAAATCCATCTACAGCCTCCATCACACCCTCCTATCAATCTCCCCTTGGCCTGTATGCCCAACTATGAGGGAAAATATCAACAAAACCAGCTACACAAACTCTCAACAGAAGAAAATATGGTATCTAGATTTTGGGCTAACTAGACATGGAAGCAACACACGTCAACACCATGATTCAACTTTTGAATTGTATCCAAAGTACTTATCATGTCCAATTTGCACCAACTATGATAAAAGAGAATTAGAAAATGGCTTACAACCCAGCTTAAACCAGGAAACTTTTCCCCTCTTGGTCTTAAGCTATCCCAAACTTCACTAAGTGAATACTTTTGTCATTAACTTGTCAAGTCATAAGTTACTTTTAAGTTCTTACCAACTTCTATTGATTATTTCTTCCATTATATTTTGAGACTAGATGTTATAAATACAATTTCGAATACATCAACACCTTCTTCTTATTCTTCTTCTTTGTGTTAGTTGTCGTCGACTCTTTCATGACTTCCAACGAGTCTAGCGTGCTCTTATTTTTATTTATTTCATTGTTAATCGACGAACCGTCCGGATTAATAACTGTAGTCGTCATTAATTTCTCACTTTCATAAGATTGGGGGGGGGGAGAGAAATGAGGTCAGTCTTTATTTCTTTAATAAAAGACGGATAAATGAGTATTTAACGAGAAAATATCACACTTTCCAATCTATACAACTATGATATTTTATAATATAGACTACATACCAAATGCTATATTTCCCCCAAATATCACATGTATACTTTAGGCACTCCTAACAGTACATGACCTGGGAGCAGATCGGGTCAGTAATTTTAGGGTGAGTAACCATGAGTAACCCGTCCACATCAGCATGACATCAGCATCCCTCTCTCACATGTAAAGTCTTTTATCTTTTCTCTTTTAATTTTTAACGGACAATTTCTCTCTCGTTTGAAGCCGGAATTTAAATTTTTTTGCACAGATAAATCAGATTAATTGTGCTCTTTAAAATGATATACACTTTGATATATTTTTAGAACAAAAAAAAAATTGAGGCATTTTTTACCAGTCAATACTATATGATATTAAATAGTTGCATACCATATGGTAAGAAAGCGTACCATGATGGTATGAACATACCAAGACTATAGGAAGGTTGAATACATGATAGTAGGAGCATACTAACTGTCATTTACGACTTTCATCATTGTTTACCACAAGTTACCACCCTCATACTAGAGTGGTAAAGTATGATAATTTTTTGTCTTGTATTTTTTTCACCCAGAAATTTGTAGATCCAATAGATCATGATGAACTCGTTTCTTCTGAACAAATATTTTCAAAAACGACTTAACAACGAAGAAGTTATCATATGGTATGGAGTTGGTAACGGGAGGTATGAAACAAATTTCTAAAAAATATTGAAAATTGATCTTATTTTGTTGAGCACAATAAACTCGTTACATCTGTGCAAAAAAAATTAAATCCGAATTAAAACGAAGAAAATAAAAGTCGATTAAGAAAACTAAAAAAATAAAATATTTTTAATTCACAACTCTTAAATCTAATTTTCTGGTCCCACTTAAATCTAAGTTACAGATTTAATTACTCATATGACCGTATCTTCAGCCACATAACCCTTTGCCCAACCATATCGGTTGACTTTAGGGATGGCAACAAAACCCGAACCCACGGGTACCCACCTGACCCAACCGGGTCAACGCGGGCAAAATCCGTGTTGACGGGTTTTGGGCCGGGTTGGGTTGGGTTTGGGTTTAAGTAAACCCGGACCATGGGTACCCGCCCACACCCATATAATTAATTTTCTCGGTATATTTAATATTCTAAACAACTAATCTTATTTATGTCTAATTTTTTCTTTCTACTTGTGTAGAATGAAGTTGATATTATCGAGTGGAGAGTGAAGAAACTTAATTGAAAGGAAGAAGCTTTCAATTAATCATGTTATTTATGGATAATTTGTGATTTGCTTCAATTTTCTTGAGTTTTCTAGATTAGTGTTGAACAATTTGTATAGTTAATTTGTTATTTGCTTGAATTTTCTAGAATGGTGTTTTAAATATGGATAATTTGTATTGAGAGATTGATATTTGACTTCAATTTTGATAGAAACTTGTTATTGTAAATTTTTTACGACAAAAACCCGAGGGTACCCGTGAATCCGCGGATACCCCGCGGGTTGGGTTGAGTTTGAGTTTTTCAAACCCAATGAGTTTTACCCCAATTTTTTTTCACGAATAAACCCATGAGTTTGGGTTTGGGTTTGGCAAAATCCGACCCAACAGGGTCGCCGTTGACTTGTCATTGCTAAATCATAGTCCAGGTCGGGCCCGGTAGGCGGTAGGAACGGACATAAATCAGCAAACAAAGAGGCCCAGTAAATCATGGACCTAGATAAATTGGCCCAACTAACAGCCCGCAAGCCCAGTAGGGTTAAGGATAAATATGCGGCGCCAGAATCCAGAACCAGCCGCCACGTGTACTATATCATCAAATCTATCAGCTATTAATACGCAGCACCACGCTACAGTGCTCCATTCTTTGCGTCACTTCTTCCGTCAGTCTCAGACAGTTACCAAATCAAATCTCTCTCCCAAAACCCTAGCTCCCCAAAATCCACAACCAGATCTAAACCTTTCCCGCCCGCCATTACCGCTCCTTACCTTCTCCCATGGTGAGTTTCGTGCGCTGCGGTCCAGAAGCTTCACTCGATTCAGCTTAATTTCACCCTTTTCACTATCTCCTCAAATTTTCTCGCGTTTGGTCTTGTAGAATAGCCGCGGCGGAGCAGGAAGAGGCGGCGGAGGAGGCAGGGGTCGATTCCGTGGATCGTCTCGATTTGACGGCGGTGGCGGCGGCGGAGGAAGGCAAGGGAGCCATCCGCCGTCGAGACACCTTTGGGTTGGGAATCTATCTCACAACATAGAGGAGTACGACTTGACGCGGCACTTTCTGGAGTTCGGCGATCTCGACAAAGTGTCGTTCCATCCTGGCCGGAGCTACGCCTTCATCAACTTCAGGAACGACGAGGACGCGATCGCTGCGTACAAAGTTCTCCAGGGGTTCCCCGTCGACGGGCTCCCTCTTAGGATTGAGTTTGCCAAGGCGGTTAGTTTTTTTGCGGCCCCTCTTCTTCTCCTTCTTCTTTCTGCCGTTTTCGTGATTTCTTCGTCTTATTCTACTTCGCCTTTTTATGATTTTGATTCTTCTGTTGATATGTACTCGTCTTCCTCGTTGAATTCAATTGAAGTTCAATGCTTTGAAGCTGCCATAGTCTCAGATTCTAAATACAAATTTAGATAGAGCTTTGATTGGTTGAGTAATCGATTCATCAACTTAGCCAATTTAAGCTTCAATTTTGAGCATAGAATCAGTCATGGGTCAATCAATGACTGTTAATCTGGTTAGTGAAGCAATTCTTTAACAGAAATCTAAAAATGGATTTGCTTAAGCTGCAGTTTATGCACTCAGGTCGACCCACTGTTGTTAATCTGATTAGGGAAGTGAATCTATGCATAGTTTCATCAAGTTAGCCAATTTCAACTGGAAAAGTTTCAACAGAATGGGTGAACCAACCGTGTCAATCTGGGTGGTTAAGCTTAAGCAAATCCATAATAGAAAATTTGAAGTTGAACTCAGTCTCAGTTCATCAAGTTAAGCCAATTTTAGGCTTCCAGTTTGCGAATTCAATCCCGGTTTAATGAAGTTAACAATGAATCAGGAATAAGATTGCAAACAGCACTTAGAACTTTTAGTCCACTTTCCTGCATCCTCCAGTTTCAGTATGTCCAGCATTGTTCCCATTTCCTGAATTCAACATGATACCTTGATACTCCAGGTCCCAAATCCGGTTTTCCCGAGCATATGATTGCTACCTATAAGCGATTAACTCGCACTGATCCAAACAATGAACAACGGCAAGTTAACTGTAGCTTAGTCTCATACACAGGCATGCTTCAATCAAGCTATTGATAATGTTGAAAATCTGTTCGTGTTCAAAACGAAAAGTTTCTACAGTTTCTGGCCATATGATTAATTTTGCAGAGGGCAAAAGAAGTTCTTATATCCATATCTGACATGTGACTAGTTAAGGGATTCTTCTCTTGTTGGCTACTACCATTACCATTACCATTACCATTCATCATTCTCAATTCTTCTTCCAGCAAACCTAAAGGATAAGCACCCACTGGATTCCAGGGACTATACGGGCCGAATTGCAATCGAACTGTTCACCCTTTTCCCGGAAAAACTTACTTAGCAGGAAGCTTTCATCATTGAACTCACTAGTCGGACCCTTTGCCATTCAGTACTTAACAGTCAGATTTCCATTTGCGACTTCGGTAATCATAGCTAATGACACTCCAATCCAACATACACTACACAACAATTTGATACTCAATTATGAATTTGAAATCCTGTACTTGAATATTTCGGTTAAAATCGTATTGCCTGGTTCTCAGAAGGGTCCTCCTGAGGGTTTCCAGATGACACAGCCAGAGGCCCTGAGCATAAAACTGACTTCCATGGATAATGCAGTACCCAATTAATCACTAATTTCTTATTATGTTTTAGATTATGATACCCAGTTCATAATAACCACAAAACAGCTGTTAGCTGACCAATGATCTTGGAAATTACAGATTTACTAGTGAAATGAAATCGATCCTTGAATCAGCTAATGAAAGATTGAACTCCAGGTGTTATTTAGCAGCTAGCCTGCACTGTCTGGCCTTTGTGACCTTCAATTACCAATTAAATGGACTTGTATGAGGGTTGGTCAACTTTGTTAGGTGAGGCATCATCATAAACTTATTATGGTTTCTAATGAGTAATGGAGTTCCATTGCTCAAATCACCGTTCCAACTGATGAATATCAAAGGATAAAGGACAGGTTGATATGTTGGTTCACAATATACCTGAGTGCAGCAGTTCTTGTGTTTTTAGCTACTGCTTATGGTGTAAATAGTTTTTTTCTTCTTCTGATGATGAACAATGAAATGCACTTCAGAGAACTCCATCCCAGCAACTGACAATCTTTTGCAGGTTTTCAATTTTAAGTAACATAACTTTGATTGTTTGGTTCCCTGAACTTTTTATAAGATTCTTAATCTCAGGACAAGCCATCGTCATCATCACGTGATGAAGACCACGAGCAACTAAGTCCCAGTGAAGTCCTATGGATAAGCTTCCCCGCTGTGCTCAAAGTCGACGAAGCAATCCTGAGAAAGGCCTTCTCCCAGTTTGGTGAGATAGAGAGGATCACAGTAATCCCAGGTCGTAGCTATGCATTCGTACAGTTTAGAGCCTTGTCATCAGCTTGCAGGGCTAAAGAGACTCTCCAGGGGAAGCTGTTTGGTAACCCACGCGTTCATATCAGTTATGCCAGGAATGAAGGGCGGCCGAGATCCCCTCGCCTAGTTGGAGATTCTTCTGATGGTGGTGGCGGGAGGTATGATTTTGTTGGTGGAGGAAAGAGTAGTCAGTTTGACAGCTGGCGGTTCGAAGAGGAGCTAGGACCCCCACCAAATGTGTATGAAAGGCGTGGTGGGGCCCTTAGGGGAGTTGGTCGAAAGAGTTCATTGTTATACGAAGAGGAACAGTGGGATTTGCCTGCCGAAGAAGATTCTTTGTATCCCAGTAACAAGAAGCTGAAGACAGGATCTTTCGAACATGAGCTTCCTGACCACCATCCTTACTCTGACCAAGAAAGTCGACGTGCACCTCAAGGGGGATTTGCCGATTTTCCCTACCAGCCAGAAGGTCGTGGGAGGAATGTGGATCGCTGGAAGGGATCTTATGAGGATATTCAGCAGAGCCCGGCAGGAGAACCTTTGTTGCATGTTCCTGTAGAGAGGAAAAGGTTTGGTGGTTCATCTGAACCTGTAGTACCAAAGCCTTCATTGAAGTTGTGGCAATGGGAAGGGGCGATAGCAAAGGGAGGGAGTCTGGTTTGTCAAGCTCGTGCTTTTCCCGTGGGGAAATCTATGGAGATCATGTTGTAAGTAGTTGTTAGATCATTGCTTTCTTCTGGCTTTGAGAGTTTGATCTCAGTCGGTTTTGAAAGCAGTGTTAATCTCCCATTTCCCCGTACTTTTGCAGGCCAGGATACTTGGACTGCACGGCGAGAACAAGCCTCGACATGCTTTCAAAACACTACGACCAGGCAGCTTCAGCTTGGGTCATCTTCTTCGTCCCAGCAAGCGATGCTGACATGGGACACTACAACGAGTTCATGCACTACCTCGGCGAAAAGCAACGAGCAGCAGTCGCGAAACTTGATGAAAGAACCACTTTGTTCCTTGTGCCACCATCCGAGTTCTCAGAGAAAGTGCTGAAAGTTCCAGGAGACATGAGCATTTCTGGCGTCGTCCTAAGATTGGAGCCTCAGGTTTCGAACTCGGTGGTGCGCCCACCTCATGAACCGAACTTGCACTTCCAAGGGGATGCTCATATGCCTTACAAAGCAGCACCTCTTCCCCAGCAGGATTCTTTAGTAATGCCGCCAGCTGGATTCTCGGGTTCTGTTCATCCATCTCATGGGGGGAGTATGTCGAATGCATACGCTGATCATAGGAATGAATATCTTCCTCCTCCCCAGCCACGTAATAGAATTGACATGTCGCCGCAGCAGGCATCTGGTGCTGGAAATGATCTGGTGTATCATCATGATCCTCACCACCAAGGTTAGTTAAAACCGAGATCTTAACAAAATTTTACGAGTTTTACCGAGCTTCATGGTCCTGATTGTCACTTGATCATGCCAGGAGCATTGACTGGAAATAGCTCTGGCCATTATGCAGGTGGAAGATCAAACAACATGTCCATTCAGCAGCAGCCAACACCACATTCAGTTCCTTCATCCCTCGGTGCTGCAGGCCTCCAGCCACAGCAGTTGGCGCAGTTAGTATCTTCACTTCTCGGACAGCAGGGCCAGCTGGGAGGGAACAATCCGGACCCATCAATTGCCGATGATCCAAGGAAGGGTAGCTCGTTGGCGGCACAAACACATGACTTGCACAACAATAACCAGCAGAATTATGAGCCATCTTCTCAGTATGGTCAACTTCAGCATCTGCAGCAGCAAACTGCGAATGTGCTGACAGCAATGAATAGAGACATGCAGTCGACGGCAGTGGGGCAGATGAATCCTCCGTCAGGGGTTCAAGGTGGTACTGCCGGTTCACAAGGTGGTGCCGGCGATGTTAAAAAGCTCGAGGCAACATTAGAACTTGCAGCAACTCTTCTTAAACAGCTTCAACAAGGGAAGGGGCCTTAGGGAGATAACAGTTTATAACATCCTTTTATGTTATGGTCTTAAAAAGGTTTAGTAGCATGTTTGAACAGAAAAGAAAACACTTTCATCCTTTAGTGTCCATGGTTGGTTTTGATTCTCTTATGGTGCAGTTACACTTCCCAAACACCCTTCAAGTTTCTTCTTTGGCCAACGAGCAGAGTGGGTCCACACATGTGGTTAACTCGAAATTTTAAACGGATCAAAAGCACAAGAAAAATAGGATCCAAACGAAACTGGTTTCGAGTTTTTCAGCATTTTGATACTTTAACCTGGCTAAATCGGCAGTCTGCTTTAGTAAGAATATCGCGTTGCCTGATCAAGAGTTCTTGGCTGCTATATTGGGGGTTGGAGCGGTAGGGGTCCATGATAAGTACCTAGGTTTGCCTACGCTAATTGCCAGATCAAAAATGGCTACCTTTCGGTACGTGGAGGAGAAACTGCTGGAACGACTTCAGGGTTGGAAACAGCGGCCGTTGTTGTGGGCTGCTAAAGAAACGTTGATTAAGTCAATCGCTTTGGCGTTACCGCTGCATGTTCTGTCCTGTTTCAAGCTGCCGTTATCTCTGTGTCGATTATTGGACAAGCATGTGGCCCGTTTCTGGTGGGGGGCAGTGGAGGATCAGTCGAAAATTCACTGGGTGTCATGGCGGAATATGTGTAGGAGCAAGCATGATGGGGGATTGGGGTTCAGACGGTTTGAGCACTTTAATCAAGCCCTTTTGGCTAAAATTGGGTGGCGGATCATAATGGAACCCCAATCCTTATTAGCCCAAGTGTACAAAGGGAAATATTTCCCCAGAGGAACTTTTCTGCAAGCGACGGCGCGGTCACGCCCGTCATGGGAGTGGCAGAGCATTCTCTTTGGTCGACAGCTGCTGGAGAAGGGATTAAGATGGCAGATTGGTAATGGTCGTTCGGCCTCGTTGCTCCATTCAAACTGGATACCCCGGTGTCAGTTGGACCCTCCTAGGTATAATCCTCAGGTGTTACCAGAAGGGGGGGACCCGCGGGTAGAGGAGGTTTTGTGTCCTGGCGAGGGGGCGTGGTGTGACCGTAAATTGCAACAGTGGTTTGATCCGCCGACCTGTCAGGCCATTAAAGTGATCCCTTTACCTCGGAGGGATGTAGAGGACCGATTGATCTGGCATGGTACCATTGATGGAGTTTTCTCTGTCAAATCTGCGTATCATCTGGCTGTTGACGTGGATAGGAGGGAGGGTAGATGGAAGCCTGTGGTTGGATGGATGGACAAGCCTAGCTGGGTTCGATTGTGGAATGCGGATATTCCCCCGAAATTGAAGGTCTTTATTTGGCAGATCCTTAGCCGTGCGTTGCCAACAACGGAGGCTCTCTTGGAGAGGAAGGTGGAGGTTAATCCTAGATGTCCGGTCTGCTGGGAGGGTAAGGAGACCCTAGAGCATCTTTTCCTTGAGTGTCCAGTGGCTCGTGCCTTATGGGACTACTCGGGACTGGACTACCTTGGCGAGGGATTGCCTAGGCATACCTTTCCGTTGTTTCTAAAGAGACTCTTAGCTCTGGTGCATAACCCGGCTTTATTCATGAAGGTGGTTGTCATTCTTTGGCGAATTTGGCGGTCTCGAAACTGGGTTGTCTTTGAGGGCAAGCAATTTGGGATCCAGGCCTTGATGCGTCAACTCCACCAGCAGTATGAGGAGTGGGTGGGTCTCTCTGCAAGTCCGCCGCAGTCGCCGCCATCTTTGGTACATGGGCCATCCCTTGCTAGCTCTGTGGAGGACACTAGGACGGTTTGTATGTGGGATGGGGCTACGCGGGGTGGTTCTCACTCTGCGGGTGGGATGGTTCTTATGACTCCGGCTAGGGAGATCCTTGCGGCTAGAGGAGTCCAGTTCCCTTTGATTGATGACCCCATGGTGGTGGAATTGCTGGTGCTCAGGGAGGCGATCGTGTGGTGTCTGACGTTGGGCTTTTCGGAGGTTAGGTTGGAAGGAGATGCTAAAGTGCTCATTGATAAACTCAACAAGGCGGATGTGAGGGATAACAAGGTGGGGGCTGTGCTGGAAGAAATAGGATATTATTTTCAGGCCCATCCTGGTTTTTCTGTACGATTTGTAGGTCGGCGTAACAATAGGGTAGCCCATGTGGTGGCTAGAAAGGCCCTTTCATTGTACTCGACTATGAGTTGGAGTTTTGATTTTCGTATCTGGCTTGATTCCAGGATGTAACTATCGTTTGCTTATATTAATATAAGATTATCTTTTGTCAAAAAAAAAATGCTAGTTTATATCGACTGGATCAAGCTCACCATTATAAAAGAATGATTTGGAAAAAAAAATGTAAATTTAAGTGAGTTTAAATTTTAACAAAAGAAAATTAATAGAACATGGCTAACTATCCATCCAATCAGATTTAATATGTCTTAGGTACAAACAAACCCAACTCCTTAATGCACAAGGTACAACCCTTAATTTAGAACAAGGAATGGAGGGAACTTTTTGCCCCCGTTTCTATATATGAAAGGATAGGAAGAATTACAAAATAGTGTCAACGTTACATCAATGATCAATCAATTTGCAACATATACATGAAAGAATAATGAACCCATTGCCTCACTATACAGGTAAGCTACATATATTTATACCCCGTTCCTGGTCTTATTTGGGGAAAGCTAGACATAGAAATAGGTAGAAGTGTCAGCTGCATTTGCAACATCTCTGCAGAGAATGGACCGTGCTTCGATTACTGATCGTGGCGGCTCTATATCCTTATCCTGCAGTGAGTTTCCGAGAAGCCTCTGCATCTGGGAAGCGAATATGTCGTCCAGAATCTGCGGGGATAGATAAGGGCACATCATTCCCAGCAAGTTCACTCTTTAGCAGCATGGTATAAGAAGAAAATTGGCGCTAAACTTTCAAGATACCCAATAAGCACAAGAATTTACCCCAAGAGCATAGCAGGATCCATTGTACCAAACCCTGTTCTCCTTTCTGCCCTCAAGAAACTTCAGTACAATCTAGAATGAAGGGATGAAACAACAAACAAGCAAGCACCAATCAAGATATAGACGATTTCTTGGGAAGTAAGGCAACTAGGTTAGTTTTTTCAAGAACATGGATAAGGAAAGCTGATTCTTGTACCTGTCCCATTCTGTCCCACAATCCACGGGAAGCTGCAACGAATATCCGGCTGGAGAAGACACCATGCAGATTGGATATGGAGTCAATGAGCTGTGATGTCAGCATTTGCATTCTTTCACGGACATCAGCCTCTCCATCTTCTTCCTTTATCTCTTCCAAGATTCTCTTCAGCCTTGTACCACGATTAGCTTGCATCTGAAGCAACCACAGAGTTTGAAAGGCAAGAAACAACTAAAACATAACATATGACTTGTCAAGATAATTAGATTAGAGGGAGAGAGAGGTTACGTTGTTCACAAGCTTTTCCACCGTGGCCTGCAAGTAATTTTTGTACTTGGTTTTGAGCAGAACTGTGATCCCATTCATCTGCTCCCCGAAAGAAGACCTTTTATCTCCAACCACCGGAAGGCAGGATGCCCAGGATCTCAAGATCTCCTCCACTCTACAGTGCAAGACATCTACTATTCGCTTGATTGTGTTCAGGAAGGTTCCAAGCTGCATAAACGAAAGACTCCTAAGATGATGCAAAATTCAGAAACCTTGGATATATCTAATAACCCGTATCTGAATCACTAACTTGGTTGGGTACGGAATAAGGTGCCATGGATTGTCTTCTTGCCAGCTTCTGGACGTGCATATTCAGCCTCTTGGGGATACTGTCCTTCAATGGAGTCAGGATGTCACTGTATTGCTTCTCTAATGCCTTAATTATTGCTCGTTCCATATTAGCAGCAGCCTTCCAGAGGTCAGAAAAAAGGTTATTTGCAGTTGGTTAAGGTTGTTTTCGATTCTTTTTGCTAGCGGTTTATGACATTCGGAAGAGCTGGAACTTACAGTTTCGAGGATCAGAGAGTACTGAGGCCATCTATTTATCACCACTTCATAGCGAATTAGATAGTCCTTCATTTTGTCATACATTTCTTCAGCAAAAGGAGAGGTGGCGTGATTTGTTGTTACCCCAGCCCATGGAACCTGAAAAATATCATCATCTAGGTAAGAATGCTGCTGTTTTTGAGTTGCCAGCCAAACCAAAACCTATTGTGATATTGACTGACACTGAGATATCATAAAGCATATACCTTCTCTGCTTTGCAAAGCTCAAGCAAGTTCAGTTCCATATCTTGCACCCACACGATTATGTAGCTGTGAAACAACCCTCTTGCTTCTACACCACCTTCCACGGGACTGAAAAATAACAAAAAGAATAGCATATAACAATAAATTGTATTATATAGGTAGCATTGAGTTTGCGCTAGTTGTATGTGTTTGATTCCTTGCAACAAACCTGATTTCCCATAAATCAAGGTCTCTTTCAAAGTCAGCGATTGCTGTCAGAAGCTCATTTACATGTGGCTGCGGGCTACTTGGAGGCCATGCGGACAGAAAGCTACTAAGCCTGTTACACAATTCCGTGCTGTAAACAGCAGCTGAGATGTTTGACAGGTCAATGGAGCTGAAATTACACAAAAGAGAGCACGTGAGAACAAAGAGCTCGAGTTCTGAAAATAGCAAAAGGGTGAAGTTGATGAAAGAGGAAATATCTGCAACATTCTCTTAAAAGTAAAGAAGGAAAGACCTTAAAGATTACATATTGGACGACATGGTTGGTTAAAGTGGAGAAGATATTCTTGCCTGGGGAAGATGTCCTGATTGTGGATTTTGATGTCTGCCTGTATTTCTTTGCTAATGTTCATGCACAGATTCTTCATCTTCAAATAAGCAGTCGAGACAGTTATGGAGTCCAAGAGGTAGCCTTCGGAATTGCAGGAGACAAATTCGTCGGTCTCGATCATGTGCTTACGGCACCTTTTCTTCGCTGCAGTCTGTAACCAAAGACTCATCTGGTTAAAAACTTCTGCTGGTTATGAAATAATGTATAAGGAAAAACAAAAATGAGCTCGGTGACGTGGATAACCATTTTATGTCATTACCTGCAAGTAGGTCTGCAACATAATTTGTGCATCATGAGACAGTACATCATGAAGAAGGGTATAGACATTGACAGCAGGAGTTAAAGCTGGTGGAGCGGAGTCTCGCACTGGACCAAACAAGTCAGCCAAACCAGTAGGAGAGGATTCATCCAATGACTTGTAATTCTCGAAAACAGTTGCCAACAGCTTTTCAATTTGTGTTTCACAATCCAACAATATACTTTTCTGCAATTGAAGAACAACATAGTTTCAATTTGTCCCGAAGCTAGTAAGTAGCAACATATAAAAGGATTACTTGTCTCAACTCAGATTCAAAGCCTACCTCTTGCCTAGTCAAACTTTTTTCACTTCTAGCCTTGAAAATGGGCACGAGCAACTCGTTGACAAGCTCTAAGCAGTCCTTAGTAGGAGTAGCCACATTCATGATATGAGAAAGATACCTGCAAAAAAGAAAAATGAAATGCTAAAAATAGAATGAAAGAGATAAACTAGAATGAAACAACTAACCAAAGGTAGTTCATAGTTGTAGGCACCTCAGCTTTGTATATGAACCGGATACTCCATAATAGTCGGCAAATTCAGTCAGGAGCCAATTCCAAGGTCCACCTAGCTTCAAATTTCGAGCATGGAAATGTTGTGCACGCATGGCAGCCTCCAATAACAAATCATAAGCCAGTGTCTCCGCAACAGGTCCACTCTATTGGTCATTGTACAATATAGAAAACTTCGATAAGTTTGAATTTTCAGAAACATTGCAAACACATTATAGTGAGAGCCTAAGTTATCCACTTATCACTACTGATTCAGCCTTTTTTCTTCTTGAATGATTGGAACTAAAGAAAATTTGAACCTTTATACTATTAGTCTCATCACAGGTAATCGTGCTGCTAATGGAGAGCTGTATCTTCCCAACACATTCTTGGCCCTCCAGATAAAGAGGCCACCATCGGATTCTATCATTCTGCATGATTCGGATGGTCATATCAGATAAACAATACATATATTTGGAAATTCCATTACTTCTCCTGCAAGAAACTGGTACCAGAGGATACATACGGGATTTTCATTGAGAGATGAAATTGGAATCGTGGCTCGGCCTTGGAGGGATTGTTTGCTATCTTGAACTTCTACCAAAAGAGCATCCCCTTCACTCTCTGGGAAACTGATTTACCAGATAGCATAAGCTCCTTACCAACAGTCAATTCAATAATAATCTGAAAGGTTTATTAGAGCAGGAACTTACAAGACATGGTACTCCCCACTTCCAGGGTGCAAGCATATTGTAGAAGCTGATTCAACTTCAGCACCTTCAGAATCACTCTTCAGTTGGAAAAAGCATGACATTTTCTCTAGAAACAGAACATGAATATCTTCAGCTAGAATACAAATACACAAAATTTGAACAAGAAAGCTTGTCACTTAACAACAACTGCTAACCTTCTGATATTGCAGGAAATGAAGCAAGCTTAAGAGAATTCATTCCATTTTTTACAAGAGACGAGACTTGTCGGGCATAGTCTTTCCCCATTTGCATGTAAATAGCACTCCGCATTGAGTTTGAGCTCTTAAGTGCCCGTCTTGGTACTACTCGAAGCTTCCTTACTGACAAGAACCAATAGCAACACGACATATCCTTAGCCAGGTGTTTAAGATAAGAGTTTTGTATATCAAGAATTCCTGATGATTAACATGGACATTATTCTCTCACTCTGTTCTACACAATGGGTAGGAAAAACTTACCATCCACTCTTATCTTCCCTACCACCTTCTTCACCCTTGAAGAGCCCATCTGCTCTGCATTCTTAGCAGTTCTCACTTCCGTTGCCTGTACACCTCGTGGTTGTAGCAAAAATTTGTGCAGCCTACATCACGAGAATCTTATCAATGGATATATCACTTACTTTATTTCTTGCATTACAGCAACCAAATATATTTCAACATTCTTGTACCCAGTACAAAGAACAGGAATTACTAGGATGCATACCCAAAGGCACTTCTGAGAAGCAGACACTCATCACGCATAAATTCAGGAGCTTCTGTGCAGCCTTTAGCCCATGAGTACAAGCATAGGCGGATGCAAGCATCGTATGCTATGAGAGTTTGCCAAGCATGTTGGCCACTGCGACAATAAAAACTAAATCCATAAGCATAAACAACTTCTGTCAATCTGAATCTATGTTCAACAGCTTAACTCAGTCAAAAAAACTTGCCTTGTGTATGATTGATCCAAAGAAGTTGTTTGCCAATAAGGCATCTTTACTTCCCTTTGGTCTGTCACTGTCGAGTTTAGTCCACTGCACAAGACAAGCACTTTAGTGACATATTGCTTTTAGTCTGAGTTAACTGTATAATCATTAATAGCAAGAATGTCATACGTATTAACAAATTCTGTGCTTTGAACGGAATGAAGCGTTGGATCAAGCAGACTTTCTCCTACTCCATGTCGATTCACTGGTTCTCTGAACTTGCATATGCCATCTCCACTTTGCTCAGCTTCAGTTTCATCTCCATAGCTACTTTCCTCTCTTCCGACTTCCATAGCCGGAGGTGCACTTGGAGTCCCGAAATCATCCAGCTGTTTAAACAGAACATACAAGCACTCCAAGTTAGTCCTTACCAATCCACCTGAACCAACAAGCCAGTCAAAAGCTTTTCAGTAGACCAACTTACATTGGATGCAAATCGGGAGCTACTTAGCTGAGCTCTCTCCCGAAGTGAGTAATTCCCATGAGAAGTCGTTGAACCATCGAGATCAGCAGGTTTCCTGATTCCCACTCCACCATCCGTTGTAAACCTTCTCAACCCGCCGCCGCCGCCGCCGGGCACTTCAATTTTCAAGTCCTCCTTCAACAATCCACGGTTCAATTTTCGCTTAGGCCTTTCCGCAAACACCATCTCTACATCCTCGTAACCCCCAGCCACAGGCCTCTCCAAGAAATCCAAGTCAACCGCACTTCCCACCTCGTCTTCCCCATCTTCATCCCCACCATACAAAGAGTAATTCCCGGCCGTGTAATCAGACACCGAAGCCACGCTCTCCCCGTCATCTTCCTGATCGCTAAAACTCGGCGGCACTAGGGTTCGAGGCGTGAGAAACCCGGATGAGCTGAACTTAAGCGGAGGCAGTAATTGGGAAGAAGCGGAAGAGTATAGAAGCGGCGACCTCGGTGCCAGAGGATCTCTTGGAGACTTCGGGAACAAACCCCTCACCGGCGACCTCGTCTCCGTCAGCGGAGATAGCGGCGATCTCAATTCGTCCACTGCTCGTCCCTGAAAATGAACAGAAAGAAGAAAGAAGAAAAAAAAAATTTAGTACATTAGGATCAAAGCTTCAACTGGCATTGGAGTGATTTTGGAAGGAGCGTTTACCTGGTTGACCCAGTTGATGGCGGACTCGTCTAAGCCTTCAGTGAACATTTTTCCCGTGATCTGATAAGTAAGAGGACGGAATGCAGAAACCGAAGTTTCAAAGCTGGGAGATGGCGGAAAGGAGAATTAGGTGGAAGGGAGCTGGTTGGAGATGAAGGAAGGAGACAGCTATGACTATGGGGAATTAGTTTTCGAATGGGGTAACGGCTAGTTTTGACGCTGTGGCAGAGTTGCTTTTTCGGACTGGCGACCGACAGGTTAGAGATGACCAGGTAAGCATTTTCGCAAAGAATAAGAAAATAAAAGCGGGGAGAAAGAGAAATGGAGAAGCCCAGACCGAGTCGGGCTATACTGGCGGTTTGGGCTTAATCAATAATGGAAGCCTGGGCTTAATCAAGAATAGAAGCCCATGTATAGTTTGGGTTCGGGGTTAACTTCTCAATTCAGTAAGTGGAGTGTTCGGCAGGGTATTCAAATAGTTACTATTGTACCAAATTATTTTAGTCGAAAATCTAATAATTATGAAATAAAATATTTTAGATAAATCGGTTAAATTAATACAAATACTCTTTTTAGAGAATAAACTCTGAAAAATATAATGCAGGATTAACAGATGTTATGGATTTAGGATTCAGCTAATATATATCGTGCTAGCCTACACATCTTTCCTAATAAGAGGCTAATAATTGACCACAGAGATGGAGTTATAGGAAGTTGTCTCACTCTATATAAATTGTGTTTGTGGAGAATTGAATTTGGGTCATCGGCAAAGTGATCCATTAGCTTTAGGTTGAGCCCTACGAAGAGTATTATATCAAGCACAACAATATAATACATTGAGTAACGGACTTGTTAGCAAGTACTTTGACCACACCAAATAAACTAAACCAAATTAGCTGATAATTTTAACAAATAAACCGAACAAAATGCTACTAGTAATGATTATTATGGTTTTCAGTCGTTTGAACAACCCTACTATATATGCGTGAACTTTTGACGAAGTTGGGGATAAAATACTTTGGGTGCCACTTAACTTTGAGAATTGGAAGAGACATATCACTTAACTTTAAATAGGGCGCCAGGTACAATTAAAGTTTCCAAAATGTGTATTCGTCTAGTTTTCCATCAAACAAAAAAAAATTGATTACATTTTGGTATCTAAAACTTTTAAAAACATCCAAAACTATATTTCAACAAATATTATTTAATATAAAATTAGAAAACCTTCTAAACATAGTATTACTAGAATGGCTAATGAATTTTTTTCAATAAAATAGATAAGTTAGTAAAAATAATAAACAAATATCAAGAAGGAATCATAAATATACTAGATAATAATAATAATAATAATAATAATAGAAGATCTTTTTAAACTAATAATCCAGTTAGAAGCACCACTTAAAATGATAACTGATTCTATTAGTCTTCAAAAAAGAGAATTCCATCTAAATGATAAAAAATTATGTTTTTATAAATCCGAAGGATTATTTACAATAAGAAAAGTAGAAGGATTTTTATAAAAAAAAGTAGAAAGACCAATTCTGAAATTTAGAAAATAGAATATTCCAATAATATTCTATCAACTTTAACGGAATGCACTTAAAAATAAACTTAAGTGATACCGGGTGCACATATAATAAAGTTCAATAGTATAACTCTCCCAATTCTCATACTTTAGTTGTATCCGAGGTATTTGTTGCCAACTTGTTTGAACAACTGTCTATGCGTGAACTTTTGAGGAGGAAGTTGAAATGAGTTCAGAGCAAAGTGGGCTATTTGTTGCCAACTTGTAATTTCCACGATCTGGGTTACATGTATGTGCTTGATTTAATTATGTATGTACAAGATCGAACCCATATAGACTCAGATACAAGGTTGTCACGCCGGTCGGCGTGTCACTGGTTGAACCTGGTTCAACCTGTATCGGTCATAAAACCGGTATGACACCATCGGTATGACCGGCATGATCAATATACGAATCTTCAAATAAAATGATCTTATCTTAGTGAATTTAATTGATAAAAAGTAATTTATTATTTATTTTATGTGTTAAAAAGTTAAATGTTGATTGTATTTGTTGGATTCAAGTACAAATATTTAGGTATTGACGTTAAATGTCGTGTTTAAATATGAGTATTTGTAAATTATTTGTAATATTAACCGGTATGTACCACCGGTCGAACCATTCCACTTGCTAAACCGGCACACTGGCACAAACCGGTTTGACAACCTTGCTCAGATAAGAAATTTTCAAGAATATATAATAGAATGGATTGGAAAATATAGTCTGTAATTCGAATAAAATGTAAAAAGATTCGAGTAACCCTCTTATTACTTAGTAGGGATATCATACCTCGGAGACATTAACAAGCCAATTATAAAGCAAAGCCTCAACCATTCAACAAACCAATCGGATTAAACCCTCAAATCAATCCACATTCCCTGTATAGTCACAGATTTATGAATAAACTTTGATAGGATATAATTCGAAAGTTGATGCCAATTAGTAAGAGAATGTTTAGGAAACCTTATCGATATGGCCGATTGGAAGTACCAGATACCGGAACAAAATCAGTAGGCAATTTTAGGGGTTGGAAACATTTGAACCGCAGTTAAATCACAATTTTACTACAAAATTCTCTACCATTGCCTTTTCTAGTATAACCTCCTTGAAGTGGTAATCGATTAGTTACCGGGATCATCAGTTATCGGTATACCAATTAGTATGAAATTGTCCCCATCTACCATTACCGAATGGTAATCTGTATACCAATAACCGGTTATCTGATTAGTGGAGGAAGAGAGGAGGTTGGCGGCGATTAGAGAAGGGAAGAGCTTGGAGGAGAGGAGAGGAGAGGAGAGAACTAGAGAGTCGAAGTTGCTCCAGGGAGAGGTTTCTTTTGATGGTGAAGACTGGCTGTGTAGTCAGTTTATACAGTATACCGACCGGTTAGTAACCGGGTAGAAGTCGGTATATACCGACGTCCACATTATTGTCACCAAGTACCGGCAAACGGTATACCGGTTACCATCGGTTATACCACATTATTGTCACCAGACACCAAGTACCGGCAAACGGTATACCGGTTACCATCGGTTAATACCGTTAACCGGCAAACCGAATACCACCCCCCTAAATTCCTCCGGTACCATTTCTAGGGCTGGTAAACGGTATTGAGGTTAACGGTTTAACTGGTAACCGTACCGATAACTGTGGTTACCGGTTAACCGTACATAACGGTATTCGGATGAGGAATTTTGAGAAGCAGTATACCGACATGAGGTCGGTAATTTACCGTCGGCATTACCGGTATGCCGAGACCGAATATGAAAGGGAAACAAACTTCGCCAGCAAGCATGGCCCAACCATGAGTCTCTAATTAAGTAAATAACCCAGTTCCACTAAATCCTAACTTTTGCATCGCTCTTTATCTCTCGACCCTGCCTGTCGCACGACGAGTCACGCCGCCCGATCCCTCCTCGGCTCCTCGAATCCAAACGCCAGCAGATTGAAACTGCAGAATCTTTCGTTCTCCTTGTCGCCGGCGGTAGCTCGACCCACGAGACCTCATCCTCTCCGTCGGGCTCTATTTTCGTCGACCCCTGTTCCCATCGGCCCTGTTTCCGTCGACACCGTCGCCGTCAGAGCTTATTCGCTCGAGCCAACAGTTCGGCCTCTCCGTCGATTTCAGGTAATGAAGGTTGAATGGTTAATACTTAATTGTTTCAATGAATCATTATTTGTGATTGCGTCTGTGTAATATATATATACCCGAGAAGAGGAGCAACATCTTTTGTTTATTTGACTTATGCAGATTGGCTTTAGCAGAGGACCTCACAAAATCATGAATTTAAAATTTACTTTGTTTTTTTTGGCTTTTGCAGGTTACAACGTGGCTGTATGTGTTAGCAGCATTTGGAACTTGGAAGGGGCGCAGGCCGCAGCACTGCTTCCCGCAGTCCAATTTGGTTTGCGGTAAAACGGGTAGCCGGGATGACAACCGATGCCGTTTCATTCGGTAGTCAGTTTATCGAGAATAAATCGGTGTCGGCATACGGCAGGGGTGTTGTGGTTTCCGGTATACCGACCGTTTACCAGCCCTGACCATTTCACAAACTTTGAGTATAACCCTTTTCTTCTACCGTGAAGAAAAAATCGAAACAAAATAAAGAAAAAATCGAAACAACAAAAAGGTCCGCCCAACTACAATAGTTCTACAGCAGTTGGAAAAATATAACAAGAATCATCAACAGGTACATTCAAAATGAAGCTCAGAACGCTATCATAACATCTTCTAATCTCAAAAACATAACCAAAAAGAAAAAGAATGAAAAATTGCAGAAACAGGGCTTCACGAATCCGAACATAAATCTCTATCCTCTGTAGTAGCAAGTACCTAGAGACAATGGTTTTCGAAGCTACCATACAGATTATCAGTAAAACGTGTAAAACGTGCAAAACGGTATAACTTTCCTTCCCCCACTTCAAATGGTAAATCTGAAATTTTCTTCTTCCAGTTAAGATTGTACCTTTTGTTGTCTAATCGATCTTCACGGACGAGAAGAGATAGTGCACAAAGTAGAACGACATCCCGAACCCGATAGTGCCGGTGGACAGCATAATCGCGATAGCCATGATCAAAGAGTATCCAAGGTAGAGTATGGCGGAAACGGGCCCACTGAGACTCTGCAGATCGAAGACCAAGTAGTTGATGGAGTACAGGAACACGTAGAGAGCTACAGATCCCGAGGCGTAGAACGCCTTCCACCACCATCTCCAGTCCTCAACGCATAGGTGCATGTAGGTGAGGACGACTGACACCTCAGCGCATACCACGATGAGGAGAATGAGGACTATCAGCAGGAAACCGAAGACGTAGTAGAATCGGCCGAGCCATATGCTGGAGAGGATGAAGAAGAGCTCGATGAAGAGAGTACCGAACGGTAAAGTTCCAGCACCAAGGACAAGTAGCCACGAGGGGTACTTTCGTGCGGGGATCTCCCTTGGGATCTGGTTGGTTCTCACAGGGTACTGAATCGCCTCCGCTTTTGTGCCAAAGAATCCACCCAGGAGAGTTAGTGGAACTGAGATGCAGAACCAGAGAGCGAGAAGGATGAAGTACAAGGAAATCGGAATGGCCCCAGTACTCTTGCTTCCCCATAGAATGAAGTTGAGTACTGTGAGGATGACGAAGACTATTCCAGGGAAGAAACATGCAACCGCCCATGAAACAGATCTCCATCCCTCCGTGGTCCCCTTCACGGTTCTCCATAACCGAACTGCCACATA